TCAGTACATAATTTTTTTCTGGTCTGGCAACGCTGCACCACGTCCAAAGATTCCGTTGCTATTCAAAATCCAGTATACGATGGAGTGATTAAGAGCGGTCACCGTCTGAGCTCAGCATTTTAAAATTTCGAACAGGCAGCCATGGAAAAGTTTGATATCGTTATTTCGTCTACAAAATAGAAATTAATGGGGAAAAACTTATGTAGATACCATAATAATATAATATAATAATATAATATCAATATCATAATATCATAATATCATAATAATATAATATTATTAAATAATTTTTAGAATTTAATTTCCAAATCGGCAATATCCTCCTATTATACTTACTTAATTTAAACTTCTCATGTTAGTAGAATTAATAATAAATGGCGCGTAAACTGTCGTAGTATATTTATGAGTATTTCTGTCTTGATTTATTTGTTATCATTATAACTTACTTAAGGTAGTTGTCGTGCTCTAGGCATACCATCAGAAAATTTTAAATTTTTGTATACATATTAAGGACATGACAATACCGTCTATAACCCGAGATAAATTCAATTAAAAATTGGATAATTAACATGGATTGTATACGCTTTATGTAGTTCTGTACCAGTTTCTTAGTTATAAAAAAAAACTAACTGTCAGAAGATTTCAAAAAACTAACAGTCTTTTAATGTATTTTTGCTGAGTTTAAAAAAAAATAATTAAAAATTGTTGTCCGTCCAATTGTTTATAAATAACCGTTTAAAGTTTAACAATTTGTAAAAAGTATACATCACTAGTGTCAGATAAAAACAACTTGGCAACGCTGTACGCGAGTATAGATATTATTTCCGCAGTAAATTCAAACACTGATTCAGTCTCCAATATATCTATTGGTTGAGCATAAGCGACGTTGCCGGATTAAAACTTATGAAAATATTTGAAAGTATTACGTAAAGGTAAAGTCTCCAGGGTACAGTCTTGCGAATAAATTATGAATCACTTAGCTACAACCTCGTATACTTTTACGGTGCGTATAATCTAAAATTTTTTGACAATATTGTACCACGATAACTACCTTAACAGCTTATAGCGACATTTCGGCTGTTTCATTCTAAACCACAGTAACCCAATTTTTTTAGAATATGTTTTTTTAATTATAATATAGGTACTGTGTTAAGACGCACGTTCTAACCCAGGCTATTTATCGATAGCTGTAAGAATGACAGATACATATCAAAATATTGTGTTAAATTGAGGCTAAATAAAACACTAAAATACGTTTTTCCGCAATTTGGTTTTTGACACATACTTAGTGAGTTTTGCAATGGAGCAGCCGATCTGTACCAGGTTTATTAGAACACTATGATGATGCTTAGTAAGCATTGCTTACTTTATTAGGCAATTAAACAGTTCAAATCAATTTTTCGTTTTTGTTAATTTATATTTTGTGGTGTTTTGTTTTTTAAACATGAAGAAATTTTAGACTTGCTTTTTTTATGGCGAACACGTCTTAAAAAAATTAACACCACTTTTTACTCTATTAGCCTCCTTACTTTAACTAACCACGAGGCGCCACTGAATATTAATAAACATAAAATATTAATATACTTAAAGCAAATGGACAAAAACTTACATTTATTCATATCACAGGTTGATACTTGCTATGAACTTAATCATATCCACTTAAATAATTTAGTTATAAGTTGATACATATGTATTAACATTTTATAAATCTATAAATGAAATGTAACACGAATACATATATGTAACATATTAATCGTGTGTTCTGCATAATAGTATAATCTTATATAACTTAGATTAAAACGTCTAGCGTTTAATAAGACATTTTAATTGCACTTTTTAACTGCAATTGATTTATAAAACATTAGCAAGCGTAAGATATATATATATAATTATAATTACATACGTACCCAAACATAATTGCATTTTACGCTGTGCTTGCTTATGATATAAACATTTAATTATGTCTAACACACTTTAATTTAGTTTATTTATTGTTTTTTTGACATATTAGGTGTTACAACAATTATAGTTTTTAATTAGGCGTTTGTCCGGATTAATTGCATTATGTTTATTATGATTTCTATTACTTATTTTATTATTATTTTCAAATGCTAAGTGAATTTTTTAATAATTACCCAAGCATTTTTTTACAGAAAATCTTTTATTAATTTTAGTTTACCAATTTAACCTAATTTATATCTGTACAATCGTCAGGTAGAGGTAGAGTAAAATTTTGCTTAAGAAATTAGTACGTGGAACAAAAATGAAAACTCAATCTTCTCTCACAACTTGCAGTGGGGTAAATACCATAAATGCGAAACGCAATCCACAATGCATGTGTAATACACATTGTGTATGACACATATTTGACAATTCATCTACCAAATTATTTGCGTAAATCATTTGCAATATAATAAGAGGAATAAAAGCAATTAGCAAGGTTTAAAAATTCGTCCTGAAACACAATCAGCTCATGCCAAAATTGCCTATTAGTATAGAGATTTAAAATTTCCGGATAAACTAAATTAAAAAAAAAACGGACATAAAAAATGAGTACCTATTTTGTTATAAACTAGAAAAAAGTGTTTGAATTGCTTGGATTATTTTCGCATTTCGGTAAATCCCCGAAAAAATCAATTTGGGTAGTCAATGTTGTTTTATTTAATAATGTTGTTATAATTTTCACATAATGTTAATATGATGTAAGGTTTCCTGTTTCGATTCGAAGTTTTTTACAATTTTGATAGATGTTATTTATAATCAAATTGTACTGACAGTACAGTACTGTAGAAGTTCACATTAAACTTAAGTCAAATAAAATATCATCTTTATATGTATATTTACCTATTTATTTATATTGGTACATATTGCAAAAAATACATCACAGTTTTTTGGTAAATATATAAATATAAAAAAATAGTATCGCCGAGGAATCTCCTCTAGTAATACAGCCTTCTTATGTATACGCTATACAAATTATGATAAATTAAAATATAACAAAAAAATAAAATACAAACATGAGTAATATTTTAAAAATAAGTTATAACAATAACAAAAACTTAAACATAAAAAAATGTGGTTGCACTGTAGCGACTTTTTTAGGTAATACATATCGAATCGATATTATCGATGTCGATGATTCATTTTACAACTGTAACAACACTAGTGTTCAAATTATCTAAGATAACAATCTAATCTAATATTAATTAATGTAAAAATTAAATAAAAAATATTGTTCAAATTACAAATTAAAATAATTAAATAAATAAATAATTAAGAAATACTATTTGTGTAAAATCAATATAAAGTTATATGTTAAAATAACACTTTTTTGTATAAAATAAATAAAATATAAATAAATTAAACATATTAAATAATGTTAAAGTTATACAGATTTTAAATCATATTAATTATTAGTTTAGGTAAAAATAACCATTAAAAAAATAAATTTGACACAACCCGATTAACATTAAAATAATATATATCAATTTTCTTTTACACATTCTGTTGTGTTAAAAATTAAGTTATAAAAATAAAAAAACTAAAAAATTGAGTGGACTTTCAGGGACACAAAAAATATGTTAAATATACATATACACTTTTTACTATGTTGGTTGTGGTTGCAGTAAGGAGATATTGTGTGGTTTTAAGGGTTTGTACGATGTCGCTTTCTTTCAGAGTTCTCTTGAAAAATTAAGTTAAATGTCGTATAAATTTGAAATATTTTATACGTTTAACTCTCTCCCATAATCCCTCATTTTGGAAGGTTTTATGAGCGATATTTATATAAAAATAAACGGGAACCTTCCGGGTGTTTGACCTGAGTTAAAACGTAATGTATTGTCTTTTTTTTAGTGTATTTATAATTTCCCTTTTAATACTTTCCCCATGAATACAACACCTCAAAAGAACCTTGGGTTACTAAATTAATGAGCTTTATTACCGTAAGTATTTATTTTATTTATTTGTCGTAATTTAATATGATATTTGCCGTGGTGTTATTTTTCATTTTATCACTTGGGGTTTATCTTTTACAGATTATTTGCTGGGGGGGTTGTACGCTTACAGTTCTTTAAAATATTAAAAAAACTTAAAAATTTGATTATGTTATGAACATATTTTATCCTTTTGCAAATTATTATTAAAAAAGTATTAAAAATTAGTACAAAAAGTTACAGTTGTATTTATTGGAATTGCCGTTAGAATTTCTAACTTGGGAATCTCCCGGCGTTAAAATCTTTTTTACTGTGTAAATCAAAATTTATCCCTTGAAAATAGACTAAAAATTAATATGGAAGCAGTTTTTCGCAGTAAAAGAGAAGATAATGTTTTATAGGCACAGTACGCAAAATTGTTAACGCTTAATCAGTTAAATCTAGTTAACTGCACTACTACGGTAAATTCAAAAGGTCAGTACAAACGTTCATACCTATAATTATAATCTTTTAAAATAGGTATTGGCGTCAAGAAACTGTTTAATACTTTTGTATTTTTGTATTGAGATAATAAAATAATTTTCACATTTAGTATTATTTTGCAAGAAAGCCACATTATTTTAACGATTGTATAACTTTTGTCGACTAACTTGAAACTAACTTCAGCCCGTGACTAAATACATGTTGATAACTTCAGCCCGTGACTAAAGCGCCATAAAGGCACAACTTGTCAATGTGCATTTAAAAGGTCACTTAGTGTCATGGAAACATGGGCGTTTTAAAGGTGGGAGAAGAAAAAACATTAAAAAAATGATATTTTATTTGTCCATCCTAGATTTTAATTAATAACTAAATTAATTTAAAAAATCTTTTAAACTGGATATTAAACTCGTATGTCCACGATATTGTCGATGTTCGTCGTGGGGTTCCTATCGAAGTGGGCGGTACTCAAAGAAGCTGGCAGTGAAAAAAGCGGCGATCGCAATGAAAGAAACAAAACAGAATCGAGCTAGACCACGTCGCGAGATAATAGCCAAGCTCGAAATCTAAGTGAGCCAGTCTCGGCGCGGTACTACCGACCAACACCAAGTCGACGAAGCTCTGCGTGCGTTAGTGTAACACCGCCGTGGGCCCTGAGACGACGGCGACGCGGACGTCCAGAAGATATCGAGGCGTGCTGTGGAAAGCGTTTGTTACCAAGATCTTTCGATTTTTTTTCTAGTAAATTTAGTGTTTTGACCGTTTGTGGTGGTTATTATTTGTGGATATAACATTTATTAGGTGAATATAAAAAACAATTTTGAATAAATTTTTTACTTTGAGCCCGGAAAAATTTTTAATGGCTTTGTGTTTTATAATATTTATTTTAATTATATTAGGGTAAGGCAAACTTGTCTCTGGAATAAGGCTTTATTAAGTCCCCATATAGGGAATTTACATAAATGAATTTTATTAAAATACGTAAACTTTTTTTTTATAAACAATCAAACTTTTTGGCAGTGCTTTTTAAAAAAAAATCTGCAATTCATAGTTCAAATTTACTGATTTTTTGTTTTTAAATTAACGATACATTATTATTATCAAACATATTTTTCCATATTCAAAATATTAAACAGATTTTATGTTAATCCAGGTTTACATTAATTTATTTTAAGTTTACAACCAACTGTAATCTGTTAACTAATTGAATAAGTAGTTTGTAATTATAACAAACATTTTGTAGATTTAATAACCATAATTATTATTATTTTTAAAGGGCCTTATATTTTTTACAAACCTTTTTGTAGACCCAGTAACAAAAGAGGGAAGCGGAATTTTGATAAGAAATGCTGCTTTATTAATCAATTTCCTTAACAAAAAATTAACACATACCTACATAAATGAACACAAAAATAACATACACACAATTAAATATCAGACCATTCTGAAATCATCGAATTATAAATAAATTATATTGGATCATATTTTTTATAATTATCAGTACTACAACACTTACTGATGTATTTGGTAACTTTAACCCACTTCACTGTATCCCACAATTTAAGTTTGAAAACCAGTGATGGCATCTTTTTTTAAATACTTCGCACTTCGCACACACATTAAATGGGTATAAGGAATCCGAATAACAATAATAACAGATTTCTGAAAATATAAGTAAACAGAAACACAAATTGCAGACGGTGAACTTGTTGATGCGTATTGTCAGTGGGAAATGTTTTGATGGACTGACTAAAATCACGTGTACTTTTTAACAATTTGTTAAACATTAACAAATAATAACCTTTGAAATTAACAAAATTCTTACAAAATTGCACATTACCTTTACAAAACTTAAAAATAATTAATTAAAAATAATTACAAACCCTGCCTTTCAACAAAAAATTATGTTAAAATTTTACAAAATAAAATTAACAAACTACAAACTCATGTTAACAAATCTTATTTTTATAATAGTGTACTGATAACCACAGAAATACGACCGATGTTTTGTTACCCGAGTTATTTTTTTTATATATGTCGCTTTATACAAATATTAATTTAAATTATTTTTAGATAGGTACTAATAAGTTTTTGTCGAAAAAAAAGTATGGTGGGCAATTCATTTATAAACTTTTATAGACACTCATTTAATTAAGCAACGAGCGAGCTCGTGACTAAAATGGCGTTTATCAAACTTGATACATAATATACTATTATTTTGTGAACGGCTTTAAATTTAATTTGATCATTTAAAACTCATAACATAAAAAACACATTTTGAAATTTTTTAAATCAAAAAATAAAAATATATTTCTCCAACACAATCGGAAGAAGGCTTAAAAATTTATTTATTTATTAAAAGCATTAAAAATTTTAAAAATCAAAAGCTCTTAAAAATACTTTTTTCTCTAACATATTACCATTTGCTTTTACCTGTATAATATTTGTAGGTTATTTTTGAGTTTATTAATAATATTAATTTAAAAAAACATTTATAAAGTAACAATTTCATAGCTTAAAAACAATTATTCGCAAATACAAAAAACACACTAGGTACCTATCATCAATAGTACTATAGTATCATCAATACTGCCGTGCTTAATGAAAACGCCGTAACCAACAATTTTGCGATTTTTGGTTTACGGCATTTTCTACTAGAACAATTCATCCTGCATCTATCCCCGGTACTCAAAAAACCGTATAGATATAGATACGGTTTTTTGAGTACCGGGGATAGACGCAGGATGAATTGTTCTAGTAGAAAATGCCGTAAACCAAAAATCGCAAAATTGTTGGTTACGGCGTTTTCATTAAGCACGGCAGAATAGTACATATAGGTACTTACCTATATGAACATTGACCTTTTTTGAAAATGGTCTATTCTATTCTATTAATCAATCAATTCTCTCAACATGTATTGAGTTTTAATAATGAAATAATACTTTATATTTAATAAAATAATTATTAACAATACATTGATGTTAGCTAGTAGTTACTTAATGTAATAATATTATAAGATGGTTCCATTTAAATATTTATTAAAAGTCATGTAGTTTCATAAATGTTTGTTACCGTATAATTAACCACTTTATAATTATATTTACCTACTAACTGTGTTAGGTATCTTTTTTATTTACTTTGTGGTTAGTATCTACCTACATATTTTTTATAGTCATCTTCTAATAGACCAAGAATAGGAAAGTGGGCAACAAATAAGCCTTTGTTAATGAATTTAAAACGAATTACGCGTAAGGTAACATCCCGACAGTGTGACTTTTAAATTTATCATAGTTACAACCATGGTTGTAAAAGGTTAAGTACCTAACCCTAATTCTACTGTCAGTGACAGATACCTAAAATTAACTACACTGAAAGTTGCAGATACCTAACCTCAATTCTACTGAAAGTGTAAAACATATGGTGTCAAATGAATATTCATTCAATAAGTATTGATATATCAACCGGCACTTTTATTTATTAGACAACTTTTGATAAAAATATATTATTTCAAATTTAAACAAAAACGAATCGGACCTAGGTTCATTTAAAGAAAAAATATTTGGAATTAACCCAGCTATAGCTAGTTTGTCATAGAGCTTATAGGTCTAACTACACAACTGTATTTTTAAGATTATATTTTGACCTTTTTAAAAATTTATACAAACTTTTAATTTTAGTCATGTATACATATACATACAAATACATATACGTTTTAGCCAATCATAACATTATTATAGTGGGAATAATTTACTTACATTATTACTGGGACAATACAATTCATTATAATTAGAACCAATAAAATGCCAGTATTCCATGGTTACGCATTTTATCACAGCGAACCTTGTTTACACGTTGCTAAGGATTTTAAGACTTTTCTTGATTTGACATTTGATGACACTTAAATACTGTGTTTAAATGATTCAAATAATGAATTATAAACTCTAAAAGATTCATGGGTTGGTGTAAACGATAATAAAATTAAGGTAAGTTTTAATAAATAGGGTTTATTAAAGTCTTTTTATATTTTAAAGCATATTTTAATTTCAAATGTCAAACTAACAATTTGTTCAATCCTAAAATTCATTATATTTTCTCACTAAATATAACTCGATGATATTTACTCATTGAAACCGAAGCAGCTCGGTTTCAATTCGAAAATATTATCGATGATAATCATACCACTTGTTATATTATGGGTGATAATACAATTCATTAATATTAGAACCAATAAAATGCCATTATTCCATAGTTACGCATCTTATCACAGCGAAAATATTTTTCATCACCTTTTTTACACGTTACTAAGGATCTTGGCACTTTTCTTAATTTAACATTTGTTGACATTTAAATCCTGTGTTTATTATATTTTATATCATTTGTTATATCATTAAAATAATGAATTATAAAGTCTAAAAGATCGATGGGTTGGTGTAAACGATAATGAAATTAAGCTAAGTTTGAATAAATAAGGTTTATTAAAGTCTTTTTATAATTTAAAGCACATTTTAATTTTAAATGTCAAACTGACAATTTTTAAATCCTAAATTCATTATATTTTCTCACTAAATATAACTCGTGGTATGATTATCGATGATATTTACTCATTGAAACCGAAGCAGCTCGGTTTCAATTCGAGAATAACATCGATGATAATCATACCACTTGTTATATTATGGGTGACAATACAATTTATTATAATTAGAACCAATAAAATGCCAGAATTCCATAGTTACGCATTTTATCACAGCGACAATATTTTTTATCACCTTGTTAAGGATTTTGACACTTTTCTTGATTTGACATTTGTTGACATTTAAATACTGTGTTTGTTAAATGTTTAAAATAATGAATTATGAACTCTAAAAGATCGATAGGTTGATGTAAACGATAATAAAATTAAGGTAAGTTTGAATAAATAAGGTTTATTAAAGTCTTTTTATATTTTAATGCACATTTTAATTTCAAATGTCAAACTGACAATTCGTTAAATCCTAAAATTCAAATATAACTCGTGGTATGATTAATTATAATTATTAATTATAATTATCGATGATATTTACTCATTAAAACCAAAGCAGCACATTTCACTCTTCCTGCGGACTCGTGAAATCTGCAGCTCGGTTTCAATTCGAAAATATCATCGATGATAATCATACCACTTGTTATATTATGGGTGAGAATAACTTAAAGTTTATTTTTTGCATTATGTTTATTGCTAAGCCATTGTTGGGGCATTGTTACGTCAATAAAATAAAAAATAATTATCTAGATCTTTTCTCAATCCTGTTGCTATTTGGGCTATCGTGTCTATTAAATATACTCTATTTCCTAGGAACAGGTTGTCGAAAATCTGTAAAATTTATTTTCACTCTCTTGTGATGTTACTATTAAAAATTATAATTTTTAACAATTTATTTAGTTTTTTATCACAAAATAAGCATAATAAGCTAATGATGACTTCGTTATGGTTATTACTTCTGAGTAAAAACAATGGTATAATGTTTGTAATAGACTATAAAAACATATTTACAATATTTGAAATTATAATAATAATAATAATTATATAATATAATTTAATATTCTTATATATTTTTATGTAATTATAAAAATAAAATAAATAAAACAACTAATATAGCAAGTTTAATAATAACGAAAAAACCTTTAGGTTCAATTCTATCTTATAAATATTGACAGTAGTGGGTCAAAAAAGTTTCTTGAAGAAACTAAGAAAATTAAATGGAAAAAAGATGCTTAAAAGTTAGGAACATATTCCCAAACTCTTAAATTCCTAAATTTTAATA